TGTCTTTCTGTCTGTCTGTCTGTCTGTCTGTCTGTCTGTCTGTCTGTTTGTCTGTGTCTGTCTGTTTGTCTGTCTGTCTGTCTGTCTGTCTGTCTGTGTCTGTCTGTGTCTGTCTGTGTCTGTCTGTGTGTGGTGGGTGTGTGTGTGTGTGTGTGGGGGTGTGGGTGTGTGTGTGTGTGTGTCTGAGAGTTGGTCGGCGCCTCGTCTCGGTCCGAGCGCCTGGCGCTCGTCGCTCGCGCGCTCGCTCGCTCTGCGTGGAGTCTACCTCTGCACGACTGCGCGCACCCCTCTTCTCTTCTTCTTCAGTGGCTCTGCGATTTCTCTGCTTCGAGTTCAGTTTGTGTGTGAGAGAGACAGAGAGACGCACAGGCGCCGCGCGCGCACGTCGTCACGCGTGGCTTCCATGCACACTTGCTTGTCTTGGCCCAGTTTCAGAGTGCCGAAGGACACGCTGAAAGTCTCGTCTCACGCGTGCTGCGTTGCAGCGCCGAATTCGCTGGAAGGCCTTGGAACTCCCCCTTGTGCAAGGGTGACCTCCAGACTTTAGAGTATTCTAGAGTCGGTTGAAGCTCAGCTGTACAGAATCTCTCTGTCTACAGCTAGCTAAGGAGTTTGTCGTTGATGGCTTGAGGAATCGGTTGCAGCCAAGGGAGGCTTCGTCTCGGCGCCTTTGAGCCCCGAGCCTCCGAGGCTTCCAGCGGTATCCTTTTGAGCGCCGCCATGTCCCGACCCGCCTCCGCTCCTTTCCGCCTCCGCCGCGCCAACTCCACGACGGTTGCAGGGCAGAGGCGATTGAGTGCACGAAAGAGCCACAGAAGCCAAGTCATGAAAATGCATGTTTGGACTTCTACCAACGCCTTGTCGAGCGCAGCTCCCTCTGACCCATCCAGGTCTCAAGTAAGTCTTCGGCAAAGGGCTGTGACATATTTGGCAGCTCAAACCCTAAGCACAAAACGCCCACCCGAGATTCTCGCGATATAGCTTTGGGATTCGAGCACCGGTCAACCGATCTTAGACCACGTTTTGCGAGGGATCCACAACCATAGCTTTCATGCATGGTAGAATTTGGTGTTGTCCGGGCGAATGTTTCAAGATTTCGCACTTGGCCAAGACAGCCCTGAGAGTCTCAAGAGCCTCAGGTCTGAAATTAGCACAGAGCGAAGACCATGAGACTGAAATCCCAAAGCTTAAAGCGTGAACCTGCGAACATATGACATCTTCTAGTCACCAAAGAGCAGAATGCTGCATCACGTGCACCCCGTGGGCATGCATGTGAACTGTTTGCGGCCTGCAAATACAGTGTGGTGTTGTTTTTGTTAAGGCTTTTTTCATATCACCACAACCCCCTGTGTCACACTTACACATTCCCACGCAGTTCAGCATGTTCATCTGAAGCACTGTCTTGTGGTTTCAAGAAGCTCTCCATGTGTGTGCGTGTGTACAGGCCACCGGTGGTGCCCCGGAGGCCAGTGCTCCAGCGGGCCCGGACAGCGCCAGAGGCGCAGTTCGAGGTGGGACCTGGGATTTATATCAGGTCCATCATCTAGAATTAAGTTCCGGGCGTATTCGGATCAAGGACCTTAGCCTTGCTAGATTGTAGGCTTCATGGGGGTTTCGTTGTGCCGGCGATAGTTTACAGTCCTGGAGAATGTTAGGCGGAGGGTCGAAGATGTACAGGTAAGACTTGGCACATAGGGTTTTTTATGTAGGGTTCGACAGTTGGTCTTGGGCCAGTATCGTAGCATTAACACAACTTGCCCGTCCCATTAACCTGACGCTTTTCTTCTCTACCGTGTCCTAATCCGGCGGTTTACTTCTATCATGTGGGTGGCATCAATATGGTCTGTCCTTGTTGTGCCCTCTGACATGGCCGCCGTACCATGAAGCTTGTTGTCCGCCATGTCCATACCTTGTCCCCGTTGCGTGGTTCATTCGTTTGATTGCAGTCTTTTCTGTCAGTTCTCCCTGTGAAGATGAACATCTTTCGGTGCAGCACATCTGGACAAGCTTTCAACATGCTGCAACCAACCCCGACACGAGCATGCATTATGTAGGCGTTACCATGCCTTCCTGAGGGTTTCGCAATCAAAAAGGATTTTTTATGTTCATTGCTCAAGTGTTTGCGGCTGCTGTGTCTGCTGCGCTTGCCCTGACCAACTTGATGTGGCCAGGTGCCCTTCGCCCGAGAGCTGCTTAGCACGGAGGACGACACCACACAAGACTCTGAATATGTGGACTTGGGCGAAGCCGCAAGGTAGCTCATCTTGCATGAGGCGTAGCTTGCTGCAATGCCCGAATCGGTATGGCAGCATGTCTTCTGCGAAAGCCCGTTCCCAGCCTCAGACTGTCGCCAAGCGGCGAAATTCCACTAACAGGCATCGTTGCACCAGCCTCAGCGGCATGACCTGCTTTGACTTACCAGGAGCCTTTCGCGGCAATAGAGGACGTCGCCCCAACTTCACCCGTGACCGCTGCCATCGAGAGGCGCCCGAAGCGAGACGATGTTGATTTGGGATTCAGGATGTAGTGGCGGATGTAGTGATGGTTGTTTTGGGCTTCCTTCTGCATGTTACCAAGTTACCTATCACGCAAGGCTTTGACAGCGTGACCACAATCGCACAAGGAATTCACAACCTTGCACCCGACACGAGCGGCGTAAGTTTTCATGACTAAACAAGACGGCCAAAAACGACAACAGCCCGCACCAGTTCGAGCAGCGCAAGTATGCAAATGCAGGATAGCCGAGTCGTTCATGAGGTTCATTGGGGCCAGCAAGAGGCAGAACTGGCACGACTCGCATTCCTCTTCAGACCAATGTCAACAGTAGAGCTGCCAAGCTGCACCCCCAAAGAAAAAAGAGCTCTGCATGGGCTCTTCTTTTGAGAGCGGGGGCAAGCCGTGACCGCGCTAGGCATCGAGGCTCTGAGCCTCAAGTGGCGGTGGTGCGTCGGGTGGCCTTGGGCCGCCCAGCCTCGGCGGGTGATCTCCGAGCGGCCGCTTGAAGAGTGGTTTTTAGGTGTTGGTTCTTTGTGACACTGTTTGGGGTTTGGGGTCCCGGGCTCAGGACTTCCATGAGACAGGTTTGAAGGAGTTAGAGTTGCGGAAGTTCCGTCTGGGCTCGGTGGAGGTTTAGGATCTGCGGCTTTGCGCTTGTGGGGGCCTGTTGGCGTCTCAACTTCCAGTAGTTTCGGCATTGGGTTCTTGGCATGCTTCCCCTTCTGAATCCTAAACCCTAAACCCTAAACCCATGGCCTAGGCTTGCAGAAGTGGAGACATCGTGTGATGAGGGAGTGAAGTTGGGGACGCTGAATTTGTGAATTTGAGTTGTGTGGGTCGGTGAATCAACCAGCCCCTGGCCAATGTGCTTTCGACGTACTTGACACCTCGCCAGGCTTGTCCCAGTTGTGAGTGCTGAAACCCTAAACCCCTAAACCCTAAACCCTAGTGGCCCTAATGGTTTCTGTTGGGTTGGCAGCTCAGCTTTGAGCAGGAGCCCGGTGGCTCCTAAGCGGCGTCTATGCAGAAAGCCTGAGTTTATGGCAAACCCCAAAATGTTGGAAACCGGTTTAAGGACAAATAGTGCTGGGGTTGCCTATACATTACTCTGTGGGATTGAGGCTTTTGGGTTTCCAACTTTTGGGCTTCTACTGTAAAAGATTATGAGCTTTTCCGTGGCACTCGAGTCTCAGGATTTGCTCGCTGTGTTCGCAAAGTTGCAAGGTGAGCCAAAGCACCACGGGCACGAGTCGACCACAGCTAAGAAGGCTGGGAAGCGGTATAGCGCATGCCAGGGTTACCGACCAGCCGCAAAAATGTCGACCAGGAGGGGGTTTCGGTTTTCAGAGTTTCGGACCTGGAACTGCTGCTGGGTTGTGGTAGCACAGAGGATTCAAACATGGAAGACGCAACTCGCTCTGTGCAGGGCGCAGACGACAGACGTGGACACAATCGAGAAGGCACGCATCGCGAAAGGTGGCGACGATTCTGCTGAGATGCTGAGACTGATATGGATGACGACGGCGAAGGTGATGATATGATTGATCTGATGATTGTGACGCTGACGTCAGTGGTGCGAGCAAACTCTGGCAGTTCGGACGTCAGGAGCATGAGAAAGAAAGATCACCGAGCAGCATGGCAATGGCAAGACACTTGTATATAGCATCTAGCAGTACCACGCGCAAAGCCACCAGGTGGACGTGCAGCTGCGGCGATTGTCGCGAGAGGAGTTCGATCAACGCAGAGCCAACGCAGTCAACTACTTCAAGGAGACCATGCCCGTTTTTGCATGGGAATTGATCCAAACATCTTCAAATCTTGGTTCAGAAAGCACTCGCATGAGGAACTCAGTTTAAAACTATCTCGGCACGCTCGAAGCTTCCCGAACCGCCACATGCAAAACTAGAGCATCGATAACATCCGCAAGCGATCACGCACAGCATTGGCCTTGCAATAAGCACAAAGTGCCTCAGCCTCAAAACTCGCTGCAAGACGATTTCCTAGCTTTTCCATTCTGTCACCAAAGCCCCCAACCCCCAAGCAATGTCTCCGACGAGGAGTCCACGGCCATCAATCAGCTCAGTCGCTTCTCCGAGGCGACGGGCCCAATACAAAGGTTTCTTCACCGAACTCGCTGCCGTAAACGATAGCACACGAACGCCTTCTGTGCAACGAAGTTATTGCATTTCCACCAGTAGGTTTCTCTAAATTGGGATCTCTTCTGGGGCGTGGATCCTGGAAGGGCCGAACTCTAACAGTTCCGAATGGTTTGAGCAGGCGGCAGAAGCTTTCGTGGGCTACTGTGCGGGTCGGGGGAAGTCACGAAGCTGCCACGGACCTGGTGCCCATCAGCTCCCCGGTTGGGCCGCCTGCACTTCGGAAATGGTTCACTGTCCCTGGTGTCACGACTCATTGCAGAGCGTGTTTTCAGCCCTCGCTGAGAGGCTTCCGCGGCCCTCGAAGCTGCCCGCAGACGTCGCGCCAGTGACCGAGCAGCCGCTTCGCAGAAGCAGGGCCGGATGTTTTTAGCATCGGACGAAGCTCTCTTAACCAAAGCCCCAAGATCTTGCAGGAACTGTCAAGCCACCGAAGACTGCTTTTGCCCCAGACTGTGACCAAGTATACAGTATACCGTTTACGCCACACTTTCTGTCCACCTGTTCCTGCTGAGCAATGCGGGTGTTTCGCAGGCGTCACAGTTGCAAGACGCGTCTACTGTAGATCACGCTCGGTACAGCTGGGATTGCAAAAAACAGAAGACTTCTTCAAAGCTTCGTCTTGGCGCTTGGCATGAGGTAAAGCCAGTCGCGGTTCCAGAAGTTTTGGAGGCCCGAAACTCAGCACACCCTTAGCAAGAAGAAAGCATGTGTAAAGGGGGAGGGGGTTGAAGGGTCAGAAATTGTTCCGTGGTCCCAGGAAGTGTTCGAACCATGGAGACAGGGAGCAGGGAGCAATGATCATGCAGGGAAGGAGGCCTGCCTTTGAGTTGAGACTGAGACCAGAGACTGTGAGAAGAGCTGACCTACAGACAGAGGCCTCGGGATGAAGCACCCGGAAACCCTAAACACACGCTCCATGGCTATGCAGTCGGCCGTCTTTAGAGGAGCCTGTGCCGGCAGAAGCACCGACTGTTGCGCCTCCGCCCCGCCGCCGGAGCTTTGCAGAGCAATTTGGATATGGCCAGGGACTTGTGCTTGCTTTTTGCAGAGTTTGGGTCCTAGGAGAACGTTGCACCGTTACAGCCCCTGCAGTTCTATGTAGCAATACATCCCGATCAACCTTCTGGAAGTGGCGCCTCCTGCCAACCACGCCTTCGAAGCATGGCCTTTTGTGAGCCCTGCGGACAAACAGGGATTCGGAGTCTTTAGCTGCCGATTCTGATTTGAGCGCAGCCAGATTTTTCACCACGACATTTCAGCCCGGACCCACGCTTCGGATACGTCCTGCTACCCTGATCAGAGGCTTTGGGTGTTATCAGCTCCACGAGCGCAAGAGCAGCAAAAGAACAGCAGCTGCAAGCATGCCACCACGACAATGTCTAGTTTGACGCCGTATCTATAATGTCAAGACTGACACCAGATGAACCAGAATTGTGCCAAGTATTGAGGCGCGTGCTTCAGTCACAACTTTGACATGACAAACACAGCGGCAAGAGTAGGAAACACAGTAAGAGGTAAAAATACAAAAGCAGCGCACCAGAAGCCATGGTGTCGGTCAGCAGGCAACACGAGGAACACCGCTGACACGGCAGTGAAGCAACAGTGACGCGACTTATGCAAATAAAGGTACTCCCGCCGACAGGAAGAAGGGACATAACATCAGCACCGATCCTCGCGGTGATACCAATCAGCACTCCAATCAGCTGCAGTAGTTCACCCCGTTCTTGAATTGTCATTAAACTTGAACCCTACAGCCCGGAAGCAGGAAGAACATTCCCCAGCAGATTCCTCCTTGGCTCTCGCAGGCGTGATTCTGAAGACCACGCCGACCGAAAGACAAGCACAAGTCTTGCCCGAGCCACCCAAGCCCAAGATGAACGGTGCCTTCATTAGCAACTTGGCTTGTGCTAAGGTGGGCTGCAGTCGGGTTTAAGGCCCAGAGCAGCGTTAGCGTTGCTGGTGACAAGCATTCAGCAGGGGCAGGATTGCCTGTGCTAGCAAAACCGAAACCACGACTAGCAAACTCCCTGGCCATACCGATGAGTGTAGAGCTACAACACCTGACAGTTTCGAAAGTCTATAAAGCGCTGCAAGGGTCGAAGGATAAGAACGGTAAGAACAAGAGTGGTGACTGTGATCAGAGCTGTGGCAAAGACACTTACACCCAACGGTGACCTTCCACGTGCCGCTCTCTTCAGGCCTGATGGCAGGGGACACCGATTTACTTCGGCGACTTGAGCGACGACGCCGTGCGGCGTCACTGGGTGCCTGACGAGCAAGTTGATGGTCAAAAGATGGCAGCACTGGTCAGGGCTCTGTCAAGGCGAGGTGAGAAGTCCGGCGAAGGGAAAGTAGCAGATGAAGCAAGTCACAGGGTGTTGTAGGTGCTGATGCCCAGCTTCCTCTAGCTGCTGTCATGCTCAAGCGGCGAAGAGAGAGAACTTTGGGCTGTGGAGTAGCTTGTCATCCATGGCATCTGACCCCTGGGACTGGGAAGAAAAGCTTCGTGAGCTCGAAGTCAGGCTTCGGGATGAGCTTCGAGCCGAAACCGCGAAGGTTCTGTCGCAGTGCGTGGCGAAGGTAGAGCGCCTGGAATCGGAGCTGCGCGTCTCAAACGAGACGCGCCTGCAAATTTCCGAGCCCGCGTCCTGGAGCCCTGACAGCGCAAATGGAGAGCTAGAAGACGCACCAGAGCAAAAGGCACTAACGGTACAGCCGCAGGCTCCCAAGCCTCAAACACTTCAGGAATCGAATCCCAAAGGGGAGATGAAAGGGACTGAGCCTGGGCCGACTGATGAAGCTCAAGAGCCGATCCCTTTCACGGACTCGACTTGGAACCTGCTTCTCGTTCTGGGCTTCACAAAGGCTGGCTGGATCGACATTGTGATTGGCTGCGGTGTCTTCGTTGGAAGTCTCCTGCTGCAGGGGGGTTTGTGCTACGTGCTTCTAACCGGCGACTTCCTTGGAAAGCCACTGACAAACGAGATCGACATCGCGAGAACGTGGAGAGCTGGCACTGCACATGATTTCAAGCATCTAGACATCGCGGAAACAAGCCTTGTCTCGCGCGTGTGCAACGGAGACGGATCTTTGATCATGTCCACACAGCAGGCTGCCTTCATTTCGCAGCTGAACACTTACCTCGGCATGCAAGCAGATGAATTGGCTCCAGAAGGCATCTGTCCCGGGAGTGTGCTTTGTGTGCTTTGTATCTCTTGGTGGTGCCTCTACCTGGGCAGAGAGTACCGGCAAATCTTCTCATCCTTGGAAGGCTGGGCATTTTGTAATGCCGTCTTGCTATTCTTTTCCTAGCCTCGAAGGCCGTCATTGTCTGTTAGTCACGTATGTCAGAATGACAACCATCACCCGCTCATCTTGCATGCTCCGCACTGTTGTGTCTTGAAGGAACCTCAATCCATGGACCCTACTAATCCCAACCTGAAGGCTTGTGGAATGTGCCTCGGGGGCCCTCCACCATTCTGGAGATCGGAAACATTCGCACGGTGTCTTTTCCACGTTTCTTCCTTTTCTGCGCAGCGCGGATCTCGAAGGCTACGTGGCTCTCTTGTCAGTATAATGTTCGCGAAAGGGCTCTGGCGATAGGAAGCAGTACACTTCTTTCCCTTTCTGGTGGAATTTCAGAATAGTGAATAGTGCAAGCCAAGAATCTCAAAGGGGCTCGTGTGTGCAATCGGCTTTGCCCCAGGCTGTCATCTCAAGCCTCTTGCTTGCCGCCGGCATCCAGTGGCTGGTGAACACCATAGCCATAAGGAGCATAGTTCTACGAGCTGTCGCCTTGAAAAGCCTTTTTGAGCTCGACGGCGTCTTCTACGCAGCCTTCATGCCGAAGCAGCTTCAGGTCTGCATGAAGAAGCTAAAGCCCATGCAGTTTCGCAATTCTTCGTGCCGGAGCCAGATTGAATCCCTTCTTCTCTTGCTCTTCTTCGTAGTCGTGATTTGCGGGAGCTGGTATCAGTTGGTTGACTCAATCGGTGGCACCATGGAACACATCAAGACCGAGTACTGCGGCGGAAACCAGAACTTCGTCGTCGCCGTAAATGATGATCACGGTTTGGCAGTCGGACGGTCGAGTATGCCCTATGACCCAGCTCGAGCTGAAGACGCAATTTCGAGTGCAGTGCACAATTATGCTTTCAAGTCAAACGAGAGCACCCTTATCTTATTCCACACCTCGCCGCGGAGCTTTGAGAAGACACGAGTGGAAACCATGGCTACGGCCACCACTTCCACCTTGGAGTGCGCTAATTTCGACCGGTGGTTCCTTCGCGGGGAAGACCAACCGATCCCCGACACCTACGGACCCTACTTTTGGTCAGCGGCTTTGTCCGTTGGCATGCCTCCAAACAGCACGTGTGAGGAGCCTGGGATACATCAAGCGGCTCTCATTGTGGTCCGTGGTCCGTTTTTCTGTTGGCTTTTCGCATGTCTTCTATTGGTCGCATACTGATGTTTGTTACTAGTGTGCGATCTAGAGCTGAAGGTGGCCACAGAACTACTTGTCCGCGTACTGGTTATGCACTTTCTATTCTCTTAGCACGTGTGAGGACATGATACATCACTGTGCAGACGTCGACGCGCAGCTCCTGCGCATGGTGTGTGGCGAGACCTGCGGTTGCGTCGAAGCACAGGCAGGTCCCGACAGCCTCATACACTATGCCCAGGTTATGGTGAGAATACCGCATATAAGCGAAACTCAGGTTCGAAGCAGGACCTCATACCAATCAAGTAACAAGTAGCTCGGCCATGACAGCAAATCGACAGACTCTGGCAAGATAGCGTAGTCCAACCATGGTGCTGCGCAGTGCGAGGGCAAATAGGCGACGAAATCAACACGAGATTCGGCGTGCGCACACCAGGATGGTAGTGCAGCACGCTGAACGGCAGTGTCTTCCATACCGGCAGTAACCAGTTGTGGAGGCTTGTGTAAGGTAGAACATACAAACACCCCGAATACTTCAAGACTGCCCAAAGCATTGAACTCAGAAGATAGCAAACGATGGGCAATGCACTGCTGAAAATTTTCGTGTGCGATTCCCATGAACGATAAACGCGGCTATCCGTAGCGATAGCCGCAAGTAGAACGCTGCATCATCGTGGAACTATTCGGCGATGCTTTTAGAATAGCATAGTTGAACCTGGGTGCATGGTGCCGGTGTTTGAGTTCTAGAGGGAAGACCGGGAATCAGCAATGATCCACAAAGTCCGACTAGCCTTAGAGCAGACATGTATCAACAGAGTTGCGCAGCAGCCCCTGTGTAAGCGACACTTGGGTTCTGCAGGCATACGGCATACTATCGAGAGAGACGCTTCATTCATCTCCGCAGCAGACGAGACCCGATCCCGAAACCCCGAAACCACAAGTTCCAACAGGCCAATCCGCTGTACAAGGTTCGCGCACAAGGATGCTTGAAGAAATGCACTTGGACTCTGATGAGTGTGCTGTTATGTTTGCTGTTGCGGCCCTCACTTCGGAAGCTGTCAAGTGCTGACTGAAAGTCTTGATGAAAGATTACACAGTCCCCCACGGTGTTGGCCTTCTGGGATTTCCTTGGCTCGGATTGGGCCTTCGCGTAACTCTAGACCCTAAACTGGCCCTAATGTGCGAGTCCAAACTGGCCCTAAACTCGTGAACCTTAAACCCCTAAAGACCACCTGAATTCAGGCTGAAACCCCCGAACCCACAAGCCCTCTGAAACTCCGTAAACCCGAAATTACGTTAGACCCTGAGCCCATGAACCGGAAGCCTGCAGTAACCTTGAGCCCCAAACTCGTTCCAGCTTGTGCAAGTGCGCGTGTCGAAAACCCGGCTGAGTCCGATTTGCGAGAGCATGAAGCCTAAACCCATGTGCGGGTGGGACGAAAACGTAACCCCGAAAACCTTCAACTAAGGCGAAAGCCCGCGATGATCACTCCGGCGAGTTCCAGGATCTTAGGTCTGCGGGCCAGGCTTCTGGCAGCTGCGGCCGGGAAAGGGGGAAAGGGGAGAGGGTTGAGGTGGGTTGAGTGTTCAGGGCTTACCAGTGCGGAGCCGAAAACTCAAAAATTCATGCTGTTTGCTTGTCAGACTTTTCAATTCGATATGTCCGCTTCAAACCTTTTTTTCAGTAGTGCGGAGCCGAAAGACGTTTAATTTGGGTGTTATGTTCGTTCCATTTTGTGGTTTTACTTTCGTTTCATTTTGTGGGTGTTGATAAGTCAGCTTTAAACATGGTTTCACTAGTGGGAAGCCGGAAAGCGCTTAATCGAGTGTTCGTGTCGTGTCGTGATAGGTCAGCTTGCAACATGGTTTCATTAGTGCCGAGGCCTGAATGCTTTCAATTGCATCTTAGCTTCGTTCATTGGGGAGTTGATATGTCAGTCTCAAACAGGATTTCACTAATGCAGAGTCGCAAAACGTTTAATTGATGTCTTCGTTTCGTTTTTGTTTTTGAATGTTGACATTTCTTCTTCAAACAGGGTCTCACTAGTGGGGAGCCGGAAAGCATTAGTTGGTGTCTTAGTTTCGTTTCTAGTTTGGGCGGTGTTATGCTCGCTTGGAACCGGAAAGTGGTTAATTGCGTCTTAGTTTCGTTTCAATTGTTGCGTGTTGATATGTCAACTGGAAGCATATCTTAGTTTCGTTTCAATGTTCTCGGTACGTACGTGTCCTTGTAAGCATTTTTTCACTAGTGAGCAGCCGGACAGCATTTGATTGCGTCTCAGTTTGGTTGCAGTTATTAATATTATTAGCTGTTGATTTGGTAACTAACTATCAACATGGTGTTCGTTTCAGTTTTTTGCCTGTTGACATTTCTTCCTTCAACATGATTGACTAGTGCGGGGCCACCCAAAGCTTTAATTGCGTCTCAGTTTCTCGTTTCAACACGCATCTTTGCGTGTTGATATGTCAACTGCAAACATAGTTTATGTGCGCAGCCAGAAGACAGCGTTTGATTGCGTCTTAGTTTCGTTCCAATTTCTCAATCTGTCAGATGTAGACATGGCTTCGCGAGTCTAGTGGGGAGCCAGAAAACGTTTGGTCTGGTTGGTATCTCACTTGCATTTCATTTTTTGGGTGTTGATATTTCTTGTTTAAAGTTACTTGTAAATCTGGTTTCACTTTCACGGAACCGGACAGTGTTTAATTGCGTCTTAGTTCCGTTTCAATTGTTGCGTGTTGATATGTCAACTGGAAGCATAGTTTACGAGTGCGGCGCCGGAAAGCAGCGTTTGATTGTGTCTCAGTTTCGTTTCAATGTTCTCGGCACGTATGTGTCATCAGCAAACATGGTTTCACTAGTGCGGAGCCGGAAAGCATCTCATTGCATCTCAGTTTCGTTGCATGTATTGATTATTGGTGTTGCTTTGGTACCTTTCAACATGGTTTCACCGTGCGGAGCCGGGAAGCGTTTGATTGGTGTCCTAGTTTCGTTTTAGTGGTTGGCTTTGATACTCCTATAGAAACATGTTCTGACTAGTGCAGAGCCACCAAAGCGTCAATTAGTTGAATTGCGTCTCAGTTTCGTTTCAATCTTTGCGTGTTGATATTTGATATGTCAACTGGAAGGGTAGTTTAGTAGTGCGGAGCCAGAAAACAGCGTTTGATTGCGTCTTAGTTTCGTTTCAACTTGTTGATATGCAGCTGTAAACATGGTTTCGCTAGCGGGGAGCCGGAAAGCGTTGAATTCGTCTCTTAGTTTCGTTTCAATCTTTGGATGTTGATATTTCTTCGTGAAACATGGTTTCACTCACTTAATTAACGGGAAAGTGCTTAATTGCGTCTTAGTTTCGAATGAACTTTTGCGGGTTGATATGCCAACTTGAAGCATAGTTCATTAGTGCGGCCCCGGACAGCAGATTTTGCTTGCGTCTTAGTTTCGTTTCAATGTTCTCTGTATTTATGTGCCATTTGTAAACTTGGCTTCACTAGTACGGAGCCGGAAAGCATCTCATTGCGTGTCAGTTTCGTTGCGTGTATTGGTGTTGATTTGATAACTTTCAACGTGGTCTCAAAGCGAGGACCGGAAAGAGTTCGATTGGTATCTTAGTTTCGCTTCAGCTTTTGGCTGTTGACATTTCTTTTTTCGACATGCCTTGACTAGTGCAGAGCCACAAAAACTTTTAATTGCGTCTCAGTTTCGGTTCAATCTTTGCGTGTTGATATGGTAGTTTACGTGCGCGGCCAGAAACAGCGTTTGATTTGCGTCTTGGTTTTGTTTCAATCACGACTTGGTGCAGGCCACTGTTGCCTTTCAGATGGGAAGTTGCCGCACATGTCGAAAGCTTGGCGAAAACCCAAGGAGCTAGACGCCAACAGGTCTAATCACAGCGACTGTTGGCATGTTTCGATCGCGGCTTCGATCCCACCCTCCGAAAGCGACTGTCACAAGGATCGCGCCCCCCAACGGGCTCGATCTCTGCACAGACAGCCTTGAGCCCGGGACCCGGGGTTGCTTAGTGCATTGGGCCTCCATTGGCCCCCTGTTTGTTAACAGTTTCTCCCCCAGAAGAACCCCTGGCCCGTATCGGGCTTTCAATTTCAAGCCTTTTCCGGTAGAAGAAGCTCTGCCCCGAATTGGCGTTCCAAGTTTCAGTGGTTTTCCCGGCGAAAGAACCTTTGGCCCGAATTGGGTGTTCAAAATTTGAGTGTGTTGTTGGTAACAAGCTTTGGCCCGAAGCGGGCTGTAAAGTTTCAACCTTGGCTTCCGGCAAAGAGCCTTTGGCCGAAGTGTGCTTTCGAGTTCCAACAGCTTTTCCCGCAAAGGAACCTTTGGCCCGAATTCTGCTTTTCAAGTTTCCATGGTTTCTGTTGGAAAGCAAGTGTGCCCCCAACCGGCTTTCAGGTCTCACAAGTCTTGTCTGTCACAAAGCTTTGTCCGAATTTGACTTTCAAGTGTCAACGGCCTTTCCGGCAAGAGAGCTGTTGGTCTGGTTTGGGTTTCAAGCTTCAGCGGTTTCTCTGTCAAAAGAACCTGAGACCCGAGTTGGGCTTTCAAGTTCTGAATGACTGTTAGGGCAAAGGAACATTTGGCCAAAATTCCGCTGCAACACGTCGACCATTTTTGTCACAAAACAATCTGTGGCCCAAAATCAAGGTTCAAGTTTAGCGGCTTCATGGCAAAAGAGCTTGGAAGAACCTTCGGCCCGAAGCGGGCTGTGAAACTTCAATGGTTTCTGTCGCAAAATAGCCTGTGAAAAACTCGTGGCTGGAATGTCGGCTTTCTAGCTAACCTGGAACGAATCCTCCGGCGTTGTAGTGAATGAAGGACCTCATGTCCATGCCTCCGTGGCTGGAGCCGGCCCAAGCCTCAGAGTGAAGCCGGAAGCAGGACGGTTTAGAGCGACCGCTTGGGCGGCAGTTGAGTACCCTAAATGCCAGAAGCACGTCTTTACGGACTGTTGAGTGGTTTCTGTCGCGTGCTAGCTTGGGGTTGGAGAGCCTCCTTGATTCCTTCTTGTCCAAGACTCGTAGTGAGCACTACCGAGTGGTGCGATGCAACAGGAAATTCATGTGGAGGAGCAGCCGCACGATATCGGCAGCGAGGCTGAGGCCCAGACGACTGTGTCGAACTTGGACGGTTGAATTTCAATTTTGATGTTTGCAACAGCCGAAGTCTGCCGTCAGTATATCATTCCTCAGTGCAGTATGCACCATATAAACTCCGCGTTTCCCTTACACGGCAACTTCCCTTGGCTCTGACAGGACATCTGGTCTTGGTTGTCCTCTACGCATCTCGACAGATTTGGGAGGTCTCCAGTTGTCACTGCAGGTTGTCCTCAGCTGTGCACCTCGAAAACCGTTGAGGGTAAGCACGTCAGAGAACACAAATGCAGCCAGGATGCATGAGTTTCCGTGGAGAGGGGTTAGGTATCACACCCTGGTGCGTTGAAGGGATTCAATCAGGAATGGGTGCATGGCCCGCTCAGAGCATTTGATGGCGTCATGGCGTGGTCTCGTTCGGCAGTTTTACATGTTCGGGTCGGGTCCGATTTCAGCGTAGAACGGTCGTAGTGAGAACCGCTGCCCCGGCCACTGCTGCAGTTCACACTGCTGTCCCTGCAATCATGCATAAGATGAACAACACAAGGCACCAGCACCAGAGGGAGACATCTTGACAGCATAGAGCGTATAGCGACTTGAAGTGTACGACAACACCCGGCAGCAAGCGCTTTGTACCATGGAAAGAGGGTACTTCTCTACATGCAAACGACCACCCTGCGAAAAGGCCGCATTCTTCTGGACCTGGCCCGCTTCGTAAGTTTTTGCTCTGTACCTGTCAGGCTCTTGCCTGTTAGGCGTGCAGGTTTCGGTGTCTACTCTGCTGAGACACCTGCATAGAGCTGCCTTTGATTTCTGGTCGTGGCAGCCTGATCAGCTTAGTAGGCTTCAGGTGAGGTGGCATGAGGTTGCTGTCATGAACCTTGTATTTGAGCGTTGAACATGGTCAGTGGGGTCGCAGCTAAAGGATTTGTGGCACACCCTCCCTTACACTTGAACACATACATGTCGTGGAACACTGACTCCCTCTTCGGATACAACGGTGCTGCGATCTCAAGCAGTTGGGATGACGTCTTGGGGTGTCTCAGTCTGACCCTGCAGCGCTGGAGAAGTAGAAACTTGCCCATCAGCACTCCCCGGACCTTGACCACGCGCATGTTATCAGCATCATTTTGCTGATCATTCCGCTATGTATGTTGTGATGTAGTACAAATTGTGACGGGCAACGGTGGTGCAAGATGGCCTACTCAGACATTGCGAACTAAGTAGAAAAAGATGAACCTAGGCGGTAATGTAGCTGAACTGGGAGAACCTGTAAACTTGAATGACCCTGGCCTTTCTTGAGGTTTTGCTGCTGTCTGTCAAGGCCGGCAGTTCACTGCTTAGGGAGTTTGACGGATCCAGCCTCGAGTTGTGTTTGTCATCGAT